GTTTTCACACACACACTCACATACACACACACACACACACACACACACACACACACACACACACACACACACACAACCTCTCTCTCTATCTCTCTGTATATACACACAGGTTCTACTTTTGTGGTAGTGAGGTGTGTCTCACCTGTGGAGAGCGGCAGGTGAGCAGACAGACATGGCAGTGGAGTCCAGCTGTCTGTCTCTCAGCTGTCCTGTCTGTCTGCACAAACTCTCTGCTCTCACTGCTCTGCTGAATGGTGACCTTTAGTGACCTCACAGCCTGCAGCCGACACACACACACACACACACACACACACACACACACACACACACACACACACACACGGAGTATTAGACTGAATCCATGAGTGATGTCACCACCTGAGATGATGTCACAGTGTTCATCACCTCCGCTGATCTGCTGTCATCACCGGGTTCTTCTCCGGTCTGGTCTGCAGGAGGTCTGGACTTCAGAGCATCTGAATGCCACACACACAATCACACACAGACACACACAGACACACACAGACACACACGCGTGGACAATTCATGTGTTTCCTTTGGTGACCCTGCGTTTGGTCATAGGTAATTGATGATTTTCATAAAGGACTTGTACCTGCAGTGGAGCTGCTCTGACGTCCTGGTTGGTCACATGACCCTGAGACCCTCTCTCTATTGGTCAGTGCGGCCGCCTCTTCGGTTCTGAGGAAACAAACAAAACTTTGCGGTTGTTCACGCCGACAATCAACAACAACAATAGATCAGTCCATAACGGAGCCGAAGGACGAATATTATCAGATATAAACTGTGACATCACACCGACCCGTCCAGTCTCGCCCTCTTCGTCTCTCCTGGACCTCCGTCAGGTCCCGGTGCTCCTCGCTCTTCTTCTGTGGTTGCGGAGCCGTTGACCCGCTGAGTCAGGAGGGGTCTCCTGTAAACGGGCACGACCGGGATTCGAACCCACGACACACTGCTCCCCGCATCAGGTGGGAAACACCTGAGCGCACGATGAAGTGATCCATCAGTTTATTGATGGTCAGAAAAAAACTATATTAACTAGTAACCTAGAACAATATTAACCATATTAACCAGTAACCTAGAACAATTGACCATGCTAACCAGTAACCTAGAACCAGTCCTTACCTGTCTGCTCTCTGCTGTTTGACCATGACCAGGTGACCTTTGACTTAAACCGTCTCCTTCAGATTAAAGTAACAACACCGGAAACACACGTTCATATTGATTATAATACGGATACAATTTATTCCATTGAATTACTGCTAATTAGGGACATAACTTGTTCATTCTCATTCCTTATACATAGAGAACAGATAAAAACCGACTGTAACTGTTTGCGGCGTTGAGGCGACGGGTCGGTGTGACGTCAGCGGCCTGCGGGTCTCCGGTAGTCCGGCGGAGCGACGGCAGAAACACCTGGAAAGCGCGGCTCGCGCTCCAGCTTCTCTCTGGCCGGTAGAGCGGCTCAGCTTTACGGCTCGTTATGCTTCGATAATGGCGATTTATTACCGAAGTAAACATTACATCTCATCTTTGAGGTCGTCTCACCGCTCAGCGCGAGCTAACGCTAGCTAGCGGGGCTACATGTCAACAGCCCGCCTGGTCACGTGTGATCCGCTCAGCGCCTCCTGCTGGCCGGGAGGAGGAAACACACACAGCCATTTAACCTTTTGACCTTCATCTATCCAACAGGTGGAGTCACGTGTTTGGTTGAAGACGACCTAGAGAGTCACGTCTATTTATTTATTTGTTTATTTATTTATCATAGACTTTATTGCCCCGGTCATACACAGCTGTGTGTCTGTCCTCAAAGCACAACAACTCAGACAGGAGACACACAGAGACAGACAGAGACACACACACCGAGACAGACAGGAGACACACAGAGACAGACAGAGACACAGACAGAATGTGTCGTTCATTTAGGGACCAGATTGTAATTTTAACATTTATTTATTTGAACAACATGCTGATTCTCTGTGAGGTCACAGGAGGAATTAACTGAGAACGATAATAACAACAATAATAATAATAATAATAAAACAAAGATGTCCCGACGCTGATTGTCTTTAGTGTCTCTGGTGGAAGAAGCCAAACGTGTCACGTGACATCACACGGCGCTCAGTACGAGTTGTGTTCGTAGTCTGTGGCGTCCATCAGCTGCTCCATCTCTGACACGCTATTGGCCAGGTAGGAAGACAGCTCCTCTGAGAGACAGACAGGGAGACAGATGGGGAGAGAGACAGACGGGGAGAGAGACAGACAGGGAGAGAGAGACAGACAGACAGACAGACAGACAGACAGGGAGAGAGAGACAGACGGGGAGAGAAAGACAGACAGGGAGACAGATGGGGAGAGAGACAGACAGACAGACAGACAGACAGACAGACAGGGAGAGAGAGACAGACGGGGAGAGAGAGACAGACGGACAGACAGGGAGAGAGAGAGAGACAGACAGACAGACAGACGGGGAGACAGACAGACGGGGAGAGAGACAGACAGACAGGGAGAGAGAGACAGACAGACAGGGAGAGACAGACAGACAGGGAGACAGACAGACAGACAGACAGACGGGGACAGAAAGACAGACAGACAGGGAGAGAGACATACAGGGAGGGGGAGAGAGACATACAGGGAGGGAGAGAGAGAGACAGACGGGGAGAGAGAGACAGACAGGGATACAGACGGGGAGACAGACATACAGGGAGGGAGAGAGAGAGACAGATAGGGAGAGGGAGACAGACAGACAGACGGGAGAGACAGTCGTAGTTTTAGTTCCACAAATATACATTTAGATGAAATACATATTTGTAGAGTGAGACGGGGAATGTCTCACTGTCCCACTGTCTCACCTTCTCCCAGTACTCCCAGGACCGCGGAGGCCGACACCGATCCCACGTTGTTACGGGCGACGCAGCGATACGTCCCAGAGTCTTCCAGCGCCGCCTCCTCGATTTGCAACCAACTGGAGACCTCGAACTTTAGAGGCCCCCCCCTCGACTGAGAGACAGACAGGCCATCAGACCACCGTGTGCGCCGTGTCCCGAGCGTCTCCGAGCGCCGCTCACCTGGACTGAGATGTGAGGGTCGTCTCCAGGGAGGACGACGTCTCGGCCCTCCTTCCTCCACTCCACCAGAGCCATGGGGAACGCAAAGACCTCACAGAGGAACACCAGGCTCCTGCCGGTCCCGTTCACCTGGCTGAGGGGGGGCACCTTGATGACGGGGACTGACGGACAGAGAGGAACCAGAAGCTCAGTCTGCACAGGAAGTAAAGACCGGAGACACGTCACAGACAGAAGACGGCTGTCCTACCGGTCCTGCAGGGCCCCCTCCCCCTGGTCTTGAGTTCCGGTCTGGAGAACGTGGCCTCTCTGAACTGACACACGTTCATGTACGTGACTCCATCCGTGGCACACAGGACCTTCTGCTCCTCGCACACACACACCGCCTCCCCCTCCTCCACCTCCCCCTCCCCCCCTCCGGCTGTGGACCGCGGGTCCACCTCGCACCGCATCCCGGTCCCGCAGGTCCCGTAAAAACCGGCCCGGTCTCCCGGGTCGCAGCTTTGACCCTCCAGGTTGGCGCACTCCGGGCAGCAGCCGCAGGCGTCCCCGCGCCGTGCCGGCCCTGCAGCCCCGGGTTCTCGGGGCACAGGTCCGGTCTTCGCACGGCCCCGCAGCCCCCCCGCCCGCCCTGGAACCCGTTACGCCCTCCCCCAGCTCCACGTGCGGCCCGGGCCGGTAGTCCCGGCAGCGGGTCTGCGGAGGGTCTCCCCGGGGCGGGGCGGCCCGGGTGGGGGAGAGCCCGGCACGGCTGGAGGTTCAGGCAGAGACCCAGGAGAACCAGTCCGCTGAGCCCGGGCATCGCGACCCGGTCTGCGGGGTCCGTTGGCTCCAAAGACCGGGACCGGTTCAACGCGACAGAAACCACCTCGAACCCGAATCTGACAAGAACCGTTTGATCGGACTTTTACAGCCGAGCCGCTCGCGCTGCTCCGCCGCACACAAACAGGCACGAGACCCCAACATCCGGTCCCGTCCTTCAAACTAAAAGCATTTTACCATGTTTTATAACATCAATTTAATACCATTCTGTTTGTGTTGCTCGTGAATTGATGTAAAAGCATTTCAATGTTTAAGTTGTTTAAAATGTTTAATCAATGTTTTATTACTGAGGAAAATAGTCGTACATCTCTGCTTCTTATATTGTGTAAACTAGAGCCGGATGAAGTACATGTACATAAACATATACATATACAGAGGGTACGGAAAGTATTCAGACCCCTTTACATGTTTCACTTTTTGTTTCATTGCAGCCAATTGCTAAAATCCAAAAAGTTCATTTTTATTTCTCATTCTCATTTTGACATAAAAAAACAGAAATGTAGAAATTTTCGCAAATTTATTAAAAAAGAACCTGAAATATCACACGGTCATAAGTATTCAGAGCCTCAGAGTAGAAGCACCTTTTGAGCTGCTACAGCTGCGAGTCTTCTTGGGAATGATGCAGGTTTTTCACACCTGGATTTGGGATCCTCTGCTGGTCTTCCTTCAGATCTCCCAGAGACCAGCACGGTAGAAGTAGTCAACTTATTTTAGCCTAAATTGGTTCGGTTGAGGTACTTCAGTGTAACCAAGTGAAGTTTACCGGTAACGATGAAACTAAATGAAAGCTCCACGGACGTGAACTCAATTTATTCTTCTGAACTGCAAAGAGGTGCTGAGCTTTTATTGTGAAGTAGTTCCGGTTGTATTGCCGCTCTAGAGCAGTTTTAACCTGACACGTGTCCAGACAGTTCAACTGACCCCCCCACGAGGAGACAGCTGTGAAAGTCATCATCGGGTTTTGTCTCGGTTCTCCAGGAGGAACCACGCATTCTTTGGGGGGGTCGTGTGTCCCCCAATATACGGCAGAAAACATGTAAAAGAAAAACGGACCACAGATACATATATAAAGGCTACATGTCTTACGGGGGAGTACAGAACGCCCGCACATGGCGGCCATCTTGGTGCAGGCAGCTCGCTAACATTGTGTTGTTGGTGGTACGTGTACTTGATTTAATAGTAACTTGCTCTATTAGTTTGGTTTGTTATAAACGTCAGAGATGTAGTTATGACGCTACATGCGTATGAATACTTTTCGGTTTAATGTCATTTTCGTATGAAAAGCCATGGTTATAATTATAACTATTCATAAGTATGCAGTGCCCCTACCAAGATGGCCGCCATGTGCGGATGTTTAACTCGACGGGACATGTAGCCTTTATATATGTCGACGGGACACAGTCTGCAGAGGACACTGTGTCCTGCTGAATGTGGGACATTGTTGGACTTCAAACACGTCAAACGATGGAGAGTTGAGAGCAAAGAGCACGAGGACGACAGGAAGAGTTGTAGTTCAAATCAAAGATCAAAATAACGTTAATAATTAAACAACAGTGTCTAAAATATACGCTTCGTAAAGTGATTATTCATTCGTTCATTATTCATTAGTCTTGAGAAGTAAAACAAACATTGATTAACAACAACAACATTTCAAAATATGCGCTTAATTAGTTATTATTTTCTATTGACAGCCCTAATTACACACACACACACACACACACACACACACACACGAAACTGAAGTCAATGTTAATTTATTACTGTAAACTTTTCATGTAGTGCAAACTTTACAGTTGTCCAGGTTCAGCTACACAACATTTATTATTGACAATAATAAGTAGGACCTATTGTCTTCACAGCGTGGGGAGGTAAACCAACAGTTCATGTCAAAGGTCAAAGGTCAAAGGTCTTCGTGTACAGTTAGAGACAGTTCACACCAGATTATAGATTAATACAAACATCATCATCTGTACAACTCCCCAAACAAGAAGCTCAATCCGTATCGACATCCAAAAGAAATGAATAAAACAGGAAATAGAAACACATCACGGATTGATGTCTATAGATCAGCTAATAAACTTTAACACTCAAGTTACTGAAGTCTAAACTTTTCATTCTAAATTCAACATTTAAATCTGAAGTTTGATAAAATTGAACAAAAATAGTATTTTTTAATCCTAAAAAAAACAAAACAGCAAATGATGACATCATCAACACCGCAACTGTCATTAGCATATATTTGAATATATATTTAATGCTACTTGTATGTTTATATTTTAGAAAAGGCCCCTGCTGCGTCTGGATCAGTTCTTAGTTTATTGTGGTCTCTTTTGTTTATTGATCATCATAACAGAAGTTTATTTATGAGTAATGAGAACATGAGCTAAAAACAATCAACCTTTCAGAGTAAAACATCCTGTTTCTTTTCAAACCTGAAGGTCTGTGTTGTCTATAAACAAATACATTTTATAAATTCCCACTAAAGCACATAAATCCAAAATGTGACTGACTTGAGTCGGGCTTGATGACACATGGAATATAATACTGCCTGTGTATCGTATCTTATTGATTACTGACTGACTCACCATGTGAAACATCACCAAGAACTGACTGATCAATACACACATCAAAATCAATATCCAATACCGACCAGAGTTTAGTGGAAGTCTTTAGTAAACCTCCAAACAGCTGTTCACATGAAATATCATTTGATTTCAAAATAAAATGAAATGAAAGAAAACCTTCTGTCTTCCTTGAAATGTATATTTAATATTTTATTAATATTATTTAATATCATTATTATTGAAGGATAATATGACCACATTTCTAGGAAGACAAAATTCAATCTCAATCAAAGTAAATTACCTTTAAAGAATCATGAACAATCGTCTTATTGACTTACACTCAGCTTCATTTAGACATTTGAGCTTCCTTAGCTTAGCATCAGCATTGGATGTGTAGGCGTAATGAGACTCGGACTCAAACAAACAGGACTTTCACTCTGGAGGCAGCGGCTCTTTTTCATAAGTTCCCTATTTGTAAGATAAAAAAAGAAAATTTGTATTTATGTTTAAAGGTCAGAGACTTTTGCGGCGAACGAGAGGAGGTCATAGAGGTCGACGTCTTCAGCAGAGACTACGTCTCCCGTCACGCTCGGGTGGAGCAGTGACTACACGTCCCATAATGCACTGGGGACTGTGGGTGGAGCCTCTGGTTCAGGGAGTATTTTCTAAATGTAAAATTCGTATTTATTATTGTTATTAAAAAACAATAAATTAAATTAAATACATATACTTCGAATAATCGGATACCATCAAATAATTTAAATTAATAAATCAAATGAGAAAAAATGTAACAATAATAATACAATAAGTATTTTGGTTTGAACAAATGTAATTACAAAAACAACAGGTGTAACAAAATAAAAGTTGCTATTAAAATAAAATACGGAAAGACGTTTTTTTAAGTGAATAATTAAAAATATAAAAGATAGTATTATTAGTATTATTGTCGCACTCTAAGAGTGCGTTATACATAAAATGAGGGATATTATTATACCATATTATGGTGATTGTCAATGTGAGTTCATTATTTTGATCCCTCAGAACTTTAATAAATGTTAATAAATAACATATTTATAATAAAACCATAGGATTATTTCCTTGGTGTCATAATGTATTCACCATTTATAAGAAGTATAACACATAATAAAGTGTTTATAACACAACAGACAAGAGGACTGAACGTGATATCATCTCATGAAGAGGATCATCGAGTGAAGAAGAAATACTCGTCAATACTTCATTAATAAGTGAAATGTCCTCAGATCTGCAGAAATATCTGTGTTATAAACATTTACTTTTACTCCTCATGAATGGCCAAACAATCCCTCGGCTCCCACGTGACCCGTGAGCCTCGGTGGCGAGTGGAGAAAGTACTTCCTGTCCCAGAGGCTTGGCCCACCTGCCACTCTCTAGTCAGTGATCGGTCCCCAATCGACCGACGGGTTCCCCGATCGATCGATAAGTCCGATCGATCAGAAGGTTCCCGGTCGATCGGCAGGTGATCGAAGTGCTTCGGGAGCTCGAGTTCACGGATCAGACGTGATCGGGAATCAATCAATCGGTGAGACGGACGGGAAAGTGTACAACATCAAAAGACACTCGCCAAAGTAAAAGTAAGAGTTCTTTCAAAATAAAAGACCTCTGGTTGGAGGAGGCTGACGGCTACAAGCAGAGCAAGGCGATAGTGTGAGTCTGCGTGAGTGTGTGTGTGTGGGCAGTGGGTTTAGGACGACAGATGGTGTGTGTGTGTGTGTGTGAGTCACAGTGTGATACCGTCCTGACGTCCTGCTGCCATCGGATTCCACTTCCTGTCACAGAGGACGCTCAGTCCGCCCGTCTGTGTGTAGTGTGTGCGTGTGTGTGTAGCTGCTCCTCACACCACGGTGCTGACGGAGGGGTCTGATAGGTTGAGCTGTCCGGTGATGTCAGTCGGGTACGGCTGCACACAGAAGAGGAAACGCACACGCTGGTTATCACAGGTTGCTACGTTTCTCAGAACCATCTTTTCTTTCAACAGGTTCCGAATGCTTTGGAACATCCGTGCAGATGATCACGTACGACTCTCTGCGTCATGTTGATGTATTATAACGGTCTCACCGACCGAACATTCAGGCATTTAGTTTTTCTCAGTCGTTTGGTGCGTTTTTTATCCCTGAATTTCTCAGAACAATTTGTACAAACTAATATACAATAGAAATGTTTCTAAAGCTCTAAAGTACTAAAGTACATCTGTCAAAAGTAAATCTTCATGCCAATGATCTCGTCAGTGTGTCACTGAGAACAAGGCCGTCTAAATGTTTAATGTTGTCGATGTAACTGTGTACTTTACTGTATTACTGTATTACTGCATTACAGTACAAGTCTTTACAAGCAAAGTGGCTGAACGAGTTGTTATAATGTGTCAAACATATTTCTG